CAGAACACTAGGTTCTGAGAAATCACAATTCACTAGGGTTTAGTACCAATATTTAAGCTCTATAAATAATTTCTGATGAAATTGCATTGTGGGTAAATTTGATTGTTCTTTTCCCTTACTTTGTGAATAGCACATTAGATTAGCTTTTTTATAAATAATGCTTAGTAGTATTAGAGTACTAAACTGTGCTATCTGGCACTAGATTTATGGTCAACAAGCCAAGCAGTTTGCTTATCATAATTGGTCTTGTTGTACAAATCAAAATACCAGCTTGCACTTTACACTAGAATAAAGCATTCTGCACTCCATGAGGTGCAATGGGAACCTTCATACCACACGTGTAACACACACCTACACTTCAAGAGATTATATAATCAGTTACTTCCTGGTCAAATAGGGTGGGTTGCACAGCTAGTAATTCACAGTGCTTCTGCAAGTGTCTGAGCTAAGATAAGCACAAAGGGTAGATGGAATGACAGGGGAAAATACAAAGGTTTAACATTTTAGGAGGAAAATTACATTACTAAGAATTTAAAAGTTTACTGTATCTTCAGCTGCTCCAGGAATGATGAGTTGACAAACACGAGCAATTCAAAAAAGATGTATACCAACAATTTATCAAGGTACCTCTGGACTGAAGCTCTACCATTCATCATGTCAGCCGCTTCCCCTAATTGACATTGCACTCTCTGTCATCATCCATGTCATTAATAAAGGTCTTGAATAGTATGGGCCCCAGTGCTGACCCCTGGGGTACTACACTCATTACCAGTCAGCAGTTGACTGCCAAGACGTTGATCACTATCATTTGAGACAAATAGTTCAGCCAAGCTTTTAACCCACTCAGCAGTCTGTTCATCAAGCCTAGATTTCCTTAGCTTCCAAACAAGACTGCTATAGGAAACAGTGACAAAAGTCTTACTAAATGATGGTATATTACATCCACGGCTCCTCCCTCATTTGCATAATCACTCATTTCCATATAGAAGGCAATCATATTAGTCAATCATGATTTGCACTTAACAAATCCATTTGACTGCTCCTGATTACCTTCTTGACCTTCATGTGCTTGGAAATGGACTGCAAGAGGATGTGCGATTCATGGGCTACACAGACCGCAAAAGGATGTGTCCAATGATCGTACTGGCACTGAGGTGAGGCTGATCAACCTACCACTCCATCAGTCTTCCTTCTATCATTTTTAAAAGAAGGAAATAACATAGCTTTTTCCCGGTCAACAGAAACATCTCCTGATCAGCATGAATTTTCATAGAGAACCACAGTCTCACAATCACGTTGGCCAACTCTTTTATCACACTCTGAATTTCATCTGGACTTGTGGATCTGAATCCATCCATCTGCTCTAAGAAGTCCACAGCCTGTTGCTCCTCTGTGAGCTGCCCATCTCCCTTTCAAACCAAGTCAGTACACGCTGCTTTGGGAGCAAGTTTTGCTTGCAAAGACTAAGGCAAAAAAAAGCATTGAGCACTTCAGCCTTTTCTGCATTGTCTGTAACTAGTTGATTCCCCCCCATCCATCAATGGACTTATCTGCATTTTCTCTAAGCTTCCTTATGCAACTAGCATACCTTTAGAACCCCTTCTTGTGAGCCTATTAGTCTTCACACCTGATGGTCTTTGGTCTTCCTGATTTTTTTGCTAAGTATGCTCATGGTACTTTTATATTCGCCTTTTGTTACCTCTTATTCCTTCCACCTCATCTAGGTGTAGTACAGGGAATACATTATTGCCACTGCTAGTAACAGGCCATGGGGCTTTATATTAAGTCAACAGTGCAAAGCATCAGGGACTTGTCACACCTTGTTTGGACTTGAGCTATTTTAGCTGTAACAGCACATTGCTGAAGTGCCAACTGTTGCCTTATTTGTTTTTCAGCTTCAGCTTAGTGACGTATAATTTTGTGGTATTACCCTAAAGAAATCATACAATTTATGGTAAAGACCTAACAAAATGAAGGGGTCATGGTGGAACTAAACCTGGGGACCAATAAGAAAGCAAGTGTAGCAACAGACCCTTTTGGAAACATGTAAAAATAACACCAAGTAGATCCAAGACTGAGAAGGAAGAAACCGGCATTTTATCAACATTTCCTTCCCAGTGAAGAACCTAGGATTTGATGACTCTGATAATTTACTGTGAAGAAATACAAGGTAGATATGAGAAGATTTGTATTTATCAGTTAGCAGCAATTAGTATTAATTGGATAATTTGGACTAAAAGTATTAGTGGTCAGGGCCCTGAGTTCAGCGACGTATGCTAATTTATCTGTCCAGCCAATAACCAACCTTCTCTGAAATTCTCTGTAACCTCTTCTCCACACACAAGGCTGTAGCTGCCTGTTTTCAAGATCTGCTCTGATATAGTGCAGCTGTATAATCTGGTGTCACACTTCTGTGAAAACGGCTAAGCTGTGAGTGAGTAGCATCTGGGGCCTCCTCCCGCTGGCTTGAGTTGCATTTAAACTCAGGCTCCTGCTGTTGGTCCTTGCCCAAGCTATGTCCTAGGTATGCTGTCTCTGGCCATACACTGTCACTGACTGTCTTCATGACTGTGATCACATTGCAGCCTTGCAACTGGCCTGGAATTGCTGTTCTTCCCGTTTTTCCTGTTTGCTGCCCAAGTTCTATGCAAATGTACGCACAAATATTTGAGGAAAGAATGCCCACAGAACCTTCTAGTCTCCTTCAATCTGTTCGATGTTTCCTTGGCTGTACAGGGAGTATAGATCCATGTGTTCGCTATATGAATGAACAGCAAGGTATAGTAACTGCAAGGTCAGATAAGCCTTGGCAATCTTTTCTGCAGCATCTCAGATCTGAGCTCCAGGAAAGCAGCAAACTTCCTGGGATGATATGTTGTTATGGAAATTGGCAGCCCTTGTCCCACGGAGGAAGAAAACTTCAACCACTAGCACTCATTGCTTCCTGTTTAATAGTGCTGGTTCTAATCTGAAGACCCAAGATGCTCAGCCCAGACTCTTCCCCCTCAATGGAACTTTTTTCCCCTTCCTCTCTTCCAGAGCTCTGAACCTCCTCTTTAGAGGAACAGCTGCAGATGGAAATGGAGACTTCCCCATTGCTGGGACTCTGTGTCTTCTTGATGCTTCCGTCTTCTTTTGGTCACACCGAACTGCTCAGCCTTGAAGGGTTTGGCTCTTGTTTCTGCAGAGTCTCTGCAAAGATCCTGTCAATCTCTTCTTCATTAACCTTGATACAATAAAGCTCCTGCATCTGGTACCACGGGAAGTCCACCAGAGCACACATCTAACTGGTGCAGTTATTGCCATTCATAGCGCAGTGCCAGGGAGAAACCTCAAGAGCTCCCAACTGCCTCAGACCAGGGTTGCAGCATCCACCCTCAGGACTTCCATTTGGATTACAGAAGTGATGATTGCACCATCCAGGGCCTGAAAACGGCTCCTGTGCTGTGTTGCCAACATTTACGCATCCTTTTCTGCTATGAGCAGCACTTTTGAGCCTTCTGTATGTGCACAGAATGCCAACTGCTCTGTTACTGCGTGCAGACCCAGACTGCAATGCTCCTTGTCATTTAAGGGTGCCTAGATGGCAGATAAGTAGGAAGCTGGACACGAGACTGTTCCCCTCTCTGCCAGGTCCCCTGCTCAGCAGGTAAACTCTGGCACTGTCCCTGAAATCCTGGCCATGATTTACTTAGCCTGTAAACAGTGGATCCACTGCATGCTGTTGCTTCCTTCACTGTTGCCCGGAAGAGAACATCAACAGAAACTCAGAAGCGGTCTGACCATTTATGAACAGAACTCTATTTTGTGACAGCCATGAATGAAAATATTTTAGCAGTTAAAATGGGAAACTGCACTAAAGTCTGCCAAAAAAACTTGGTCAGCAAAAGTACAGAGCATTCAGTCATGAGACCAAAATGCTCTTGACCAGGCACCATTTAGGTAAAAGAATCTCCAAAGTCTCCCATATAATAACTGCATATGCAGCCAAAGCTGTATTTCTGTATTTCTACTTCATATCTCAGAAGGTGTAGTTAAAAAGCATGAGTTCAATGCAACAAATAAACATGAATCTAAATTTTTTAAAAGTCGCATTTCTTCACTTATTCTATGTGCCACAAACCCCAAATCATAGTGTGAGTGTGTAAACCTGGCTTAACCTTTGCACAGATTTGATTTTGCTATTCTCTTATGTTTCCCCATCCATGGGGTCTGTGTCAGGAGCCACTGGAAGGTTTATCTTCAATTTTTATTATACGTAGATGCCAGGAAATGCTTTGGCACCTGCTTTCTGATGCTACATATTATGTTGGACTAGGTGGAGATTCAGAGAACCTCCTAAAGCTCTCTGCTTCACTCAGAGTGAAATTTACTCTTTCACTGAGTAAATTTCAGTCATCAGGAAGAATCTGGGACTTTGAACTTGAGTTCTACAGCATTTGTGAAATCTCAGTATGGACAGTGACTTGATAATTCTGGATCTTATATTATTTTTTAAAGTATGTTTGAAAATATTGCTGAAACATACTTGCTTGGAAGGTCAATCAGAAAAAAAACTCAAATGTTTTGCCCTTACTAACTCCTTTAGCTATCTAGAATCTGACAAAATAATATAAAATATTTTGGAAAATAACTGAGGAACAAAACCAAAACAAAACATTAGCTATTTGGCTTAGACATAGAGCTCCCAAAACACATGCCAGGAGTATCCTATTGCCTAAACGCTACAGTGCAATCCACAGCCAACAACCAGCTGCATGTATACCTGAGGCTGTATGACCTAAGAGGTCTACTGTGAACAGTTGTTAAAGGTTTGTGTTATTTCTTACCTCCCACAGCACAGTCTACAGAGCTTTTCAGGGTGGATGTGAATGATACACAGTATCTCTGTTGCCAGGAAATGGAATGAGGCAAATGTAATCACATCCCACTCACACTTTTAAAGCAACCCAAGGAGCTTAAGTTCCTCCCCCCCCAAAAAAAAATCCAAACCCCTGTACCTGTCAGCATGACATCTACCACGACGTTTTCAGGAGTTGGATTTTTGAAGGATATGATGACAGAAGAACGCTGGCCAATGCATGCGCTTATGCTGGTTGGTTCCATCAGCTGAGGAGGAAGACCAGTCCCCGAAAGGTAAAATATCCACTCTTTAAGCTGTAGATGAAATGTGTTATTATTTATTATTTGATGAGTTGGATCTGTACATTTTAAGGCATTTTGCCTACTTCTTTCTTCTAGTATTCTATGTCTCTTTTCTGTTGTAAGTGAACTGCTGTTTAGCACTTTCTTTCTTCTTCCCTCAAGCTGTTATGGTACTCTAAGTATTGCTACCTGGAAATCAATAGCTCCAGTCTGGGAGATGTTCACATCTCCTCTTTGCATTTAACTTCTGTACTACTCTGAGCACGGAGTATTTAACTTCCATGTAGCTACTCAGAGCTCCCAGTGTAGTGAATGGAAAGATGTAGGTGGTTTCAAGAGCGCAATTCAAAGCACGTATATTAGAACCTGAAAGAAGATGAAGTGAGAAGTTATCTTCAGAAGACAAAGGAAGAAGGAAAATAATTCTTTGATGGGACAGCAGTAGAACAACACAAAAAGCTAAAATTGTTACTCCAAAGACAATAAAGAACATGAACCACTATACACAGAAGAATCAAGAATATTGGAAAGAACTAGTAGATACAGTGTTTCAACACAGAGCAGAAAAAAAGGAAAATATAATTAAATTGATGTGTTAATTTTGACCATTCTTTTCAGAATGACAGTAAAGAGTTGCCTGCCCCACATTTACTCTTTTAAGGTTATAAAGACTGGTGTTAATAATGCCACTCATTATGGAACCTTTAAAAGGTGGATGAGCAGCAAAGGTGGATGGTAAATATAAAGATACTACCATTATTTTAAGGAAAATGTTTAATTTGTACATTCATGTTGCTGCCTTTAAATAATAATACAGACTAAAATCTGAGGCTTATTACAAACTGCTCAGTGACCCTTTGATCTGTTTTGTTCATTATCACTCAAAAAGGTATGCATCACAAAGAGAATAGAAAATAATAAATAAAATCAAAATACTATTTTTATTATCTGAAACATTGCATTTACTTCTGCATAGTCTGTCTGAAAAAAGTAAGGAAAATCTGCAATAGACAGGGTTCAAAAAATCTAACAACAAATCTGGAAATACAGTAAAAAGTGACTAATATATTGAGACTTCTCAGCATAAACAGGGATAAAAAAAAGGCACATCGTATGTCTTCAGAAAATAGCTTTGGACAGCAAAATTGCATGCCTTTATTATCATTTTATAGAGAAACATTCAATCCAACAAGAAAAAAGACATTTTAATCTTACTGAAGGAAATTCTTTGGTAAAAGTCATCAAAGGCTACAGGATTTTAATTAAAAAAAAAAAAAAAAAAAGAGGAAGAACTGTTTATATACTGATGTAGAGACTACCCAATACTAAAAGTCAGAATATAAAATTAGAGCCTATGTTTTGTTTAGGATTTAGACATTGATTTTTATCACCTGGTTTGTGGGAACTTCTTCATTACTCAAACTAATAAGAATTAAAAACTACCTCCCTTTAAAATTACATTTTATTTCATTATTGTTGACTTAAACATGACCTATAGCCTCTTTATGGTTACAGATTCATGAGCAGGAAGCTAGCACCGCTCACTACTCAGATTCTGACAGGAAGGCGAATGCTACTGCTATACAGACTTGGAAGCAACACAGGACTAACTCTTTGGTGAAACCCCTTTGCTGGTCACAGTCAACAAGAAAATGCCCAACAATTGCCAAGCGCGCATGCCATAGCATTTGTGTTCCTGACTCATGTTCTTCCTCACCACGTCGGCCTCAAGAAGTTAAACGTAAAGAAAAGGCTGAGCACGCTTTGCAGGCTTATTTTGAAGGACTGGAACACAGGCATGAGCGTGCCAGAAGACCATGTTTTCAGAAAGCTGGATATGCCAAGCTATTAGTGATCTACACCGGCTTGTTATTGATACTTTGTGCTTGCTTACAAACACAGTAACAAAAAAGAAAACTTTTTTGCAAAACTCTTAATACAGAAGTTATGAGGCAATATGAGTCTAACAATGCTTTCCAGGCCCACTGTAAATTTGTGTGAACCACCTTGTTCATAGCAAGTAATTTTACACTGAGGTACAGTGCAGGGGTGGGAGGAGTGCACGTGTTCGTATTTTGTGCAGGTGTGGTGTAAAGATCAAGTTTGAGCTTTATTGCTGAAGGCTCAGGCTCATGGTCTACAAACATTAAAGAATGTAGCTTCCACTCATTTTTTTGTGGTTAACAAGCAGAGCCTTTTTGAACCCTATTGTTTCAAGTGCTGAGCACCTTTAAAGTAACACACTGAAACTTTGTCAAACTGAGCAGCTAAAGGAGCCACACAAAATTCGCGGTCAGTCTGGAAAATAAAACCAGACAACCAAAAAATTATACAGGTTGTAGGACAGGCCTGCCTTGCCTGACCTGCAGTAACAGTTCCTCACTGACCCACTTTGTGATGGAGGTCAAGATCATGTATGCTCAGTGCAAGAAATCAAGAGGAAAAAAGATTAAAAAAACCAGAATCCTAAGGCAAATAATACAAGATAGGATCTAATATTGGGCTTGGTTTCTCTCTAATATTACTTACTACTGTTAAATGCTCTACATTACACCTGGATGCTAGCAATGTGGTAAAAGAATAGGATAATACAGATATGTTAGAACTCTGGGTGTGGGTTATGTTCAAGCTGACCTTTCAGTAGTGCTGTCCCAACAAACTTAATTTCAGATCTTCACAATCATTAGAGCTAAACTCAGATTCACTTTGTGAAGAGCTCTTTGTACAGCTTCAAACCAGAAACAAATGAAGCAGGTAATAACACAGAGCAGTTTCTCTCAGTTCAGCAAAGAAGCACAATCAGAAACAGTTAGAGCTTATCCTGTAAGTACTGTCATTAACTGATTTTAGATTAGTCAGCTATTCAGCTATCAGATGGCTTAAGTGTCCATTCAAATATATTTAATCAGAGAAATCAAGGGAGGGAAATCAATGTTGGGGGGTGGTGTGGTGGTGGTGGTTTACATTGAAAGTTGTTTGAGGCATCTACCGCTGATGAGAAACATTCTTCAAGTCTTCATTAAAAAGGGCAGTTATATCTGTGCAAATACTCACTGTCAGCTATCAGTATAACAATTAGCAAACTAAAATAGTCTGGGATTAATTAGTAAGGACTGTAGCAGTGAAAATGAATGAAAATTTAGAAAACTCAAAGGATTCAGGCATAAATAGAGCACTAAGAAATTACAAAGGTTATACCAATATATTGAAACAGTTAAAGGGGTCTGGACAAAGCAACTAGAAGGATGGGACACTGACTGAAGTTCACTGCAGATAAAAACTTGGAGATTTGCCATTACTTGAAAGGAGATGCACTGGATGACAAGATTCAGGTGGCAGGGCTCAATTTGTTCCTGAAAGGTTTGAATGAATTGTTGTATTGTTTTATTGCTTCTGTATTCGGTGAAGAATTTATTTTTTCTTTTTTAAAATACAGATAAGATTTCTGTGTCCCATCAGGATCCAGACGAGATAAGGACATTCTGTTCTCCTGAACTGGCCTTGGATATATAGTATTCATATGAGAATTGCTGTCTCCTTGTTTTTATCCTTAATAAATATTTAAGACGAGAGATCCTGAAAATAAATGCTGTGCTAGCACCACCTACAAATAACCTGTCTGTTCAACATACTTAATCAGGAAAAAAATTGCCACATCACTTCCTTCACTATTTGTTTTCTTTTATTCAAAAGATTATTTGCTTTTGCAGTATTACTTAAAACACTACTGAAAACTCCTGGTAGCACTTAACTGGAGTAATTCACAAGTCAGCAGTCTATTAGGATTTCTGAAAGAATACAGAGAGGAAATTGCACAGAAAGCAAATGCTTCTATCAACCACAGCTCATGTGATGAAATATTATCATTTACATCATATTATCAGTTTTTCTTTTTGTTTCCAGTTGTAATTTTTAATCAGCTAGTAGGTCATGTTGATGACTCATGTTTCTTTATTTACTTGTTTCTCATTTAAAATTAGGAAAATTCACAGAGAAAAAAATGTCAACAATTCTAAGATGCTCATAGTAAAAACCATTCTCAAACAAACTGAAAGGAAGAATTCACTTTTTCAAGTGCGTGACCTTCCAAAATTCAAATCGGATAAAAAAGAAACAATTTAATTTTGTTTGGGGTTGGGAAAAACATCAAGAAATTTAATTTCAGAGGTGACAATGCTAAGAAGTGCCGGTCTTCTGGTGTTGACAACAGCAGAACTAATTACCAAGAAAGCTAAAATTATTCATTACTTATCCTAGCTCCTAGGCCATTATGCCACATTTTAATACTGTAAATAGAATAACTTCTGTGTAAAACTAAGGTTAAAACAAATTATAACTTTTGAACATCTTTGCATTTGCCCTTTATTATGCATCCAGCCATTAAATTTCAACTTGACCTACAGACCGAAACCCTTACTTACATGCCTATTAAAAATATTATCTAATCTGCATTCCAAGTGTTGTGGGCAGCAAACATAGTATCGTACCTGTGAACATTTGAAGGTTATTGATGCCTTGTGATTGCCTCTTCCAAGGCCAGACGGACAGAATTGCACAGGTACTTCAGTGGTGGAATGAGGAGCGACAACCAGCTGTACAAATACAAGAAGCAAAGGGTAGAGGGGGGGAAGTCAATTTTTGGAGCCCTTTTCTGTTTTGTGCTTTGCATCGACAGTGTTGATGTTTATGTGATTAATGTGTTCCACCAGATGCAGTCTCTCCCCTCAGCAAGCATAGGCTGCTAAGGCAGCAAGTGTATTGCAGTAAACAATACTAGTGGCAGTCACTGCACGTTCATTCCCCAGAAACTACAGAGCTGGTGTTACAGATTGCTCCAAGGACATGGACAGCGGCTCTCACAAATACCGTTCAAATGTGACTTTGGTGTCTGATCGTATTGATGACACTAAAAGGTTATCACATTGACCTACAAAGACAAGAACTGGCTTATAAGGGAAATACATTGTAGGTTTTAATAAACTAGTGCTTTGCCTCTCTTCTGCTTACCTTTA